CCTCCTTTTGTCCCTGGCCCTCCATGTGCCCCCCCTAAAAATGAATCCTAGAGACGCCACTGGCGTGAGGGGGGCCAAGGTGGGGGCCGGGGGGAGGACAGTAGGCCCCCCCTCGTCATTCTTATGTAGGGCACCCACCCACCACTCAGGGGTGGGGGCCGGGGGGGAGGACAATAGGTCCCCCCTCTTATTTTACTTTAGGGCCCCCACCCGCCATTCGCGGTATAGCGAGTAGGGGCTGAATTTACTAATACTAAGTAATACTTACTTAGTATTAGTAAATCTGGCTGAAAGACCAATTTAGACCAAGTTTGACAAAGACCCTAAGGGGTTGAAATGTTGCTGTGTAGTTCCTGGTTCTAATAAAATTGCCTACACTTTGGAATTCGTTGGAGTGCCTGGATTATTTTCTACAATTAATAATTTTACATTTGGTCCACTTTGGTACTGGGACCTATCCATTGGAGCACCCTGGATTCCTTGATGAAGGGTTGAGTGCACTTCCACTATCTTTTTATATATATCTGAGAAAGACCAATTTAGGTCTTTCAGCCTTTTGGTAGATAGCTCTCTAATACCGTGGGAATTAGGGAGTTATCTACTAAGCGGCTGCTTATTTTATGTTATTTTAAGTGATTTTAAGTGATTTCCCTATCCACATTTGTTTGCAGGGCACTTGTCCTACTCTTACCCCATTTTACTTCCTTTTGCAGCCCTCTAGCCCTTTCCAGGACTTTTTTAGAGGCATTTTAGTGCCCAAAAGTTTGGGTCCCCATTTTCAATGGTGTTCGGGGTCAAGTTCGAGCCGAACTCGAACTTTTTGACGAAGTCCGGTCGAACTTGGCGAACCCGAACATCCAGGTGTCCGCTCAACTCTACTTATTACCACCATACACCTGAAGAGGAGATCTGCTCAGTTTGATTCTCTTTAAAATAGTATTTGGTCTGTTTCTTAATAAATTCTATATTGTTTGTGTTTGAGAAAATATAGTTGTTTAATCTCCATTCTGGCCTTGAAATTTCAAAGGTATCTTTAACATCCAGAATAACTGCATTGTGATCTGACCATGTAATGTCATTTATTGTAATGGCTTTTGTTTGTTGGGCTAGTTTAATATCTCCCAGCACAAAATCAATGCGGGAGTATGCATAATAGGATTTTGAAAAGCAGGTAAAATCTAAATCTGTTGGATGAAAAATGCACCAAATATCTAATATAGAATAGTTTTGAATTAACTGTCTAAATTTTTCAGAGCGTTTAAAGATTCCTCTGTCTGTTATCTAACCTGTAATAGTTTTTTTGTCTAAAAGTGGATCGAATACTAATTTGAAGTCCCCCAGGGTCACCAAAGACCATATCTATCCTTTTTAAAACATTAGATATAAATGATAGTGAAGAATGATTTTGAGCATAAAGATTAGTTAGTGCATATATGATGTTATCAATCTTGCATACTACTATAATAAATCTTCCCTCGTGTCTAGTTCTGTATATATATTTCTGAAATTTAGATTCTTAGATATCAATATAGCAACTCCACGTTTTTTTGTTTTTTTTTGTGTTCAAGAGATGCGGAGAGAATAGTCGTATAAATCTTAGAATAAATTAATATTATCAAGCTTTCTCCAATGCGTTTTTTGAATTCCACAAATATAAATTTTCTGTTTCCTTAAATACTCCAGTAAAATGGATCTCTTGAATGGAGAATTAAGTCCCTGGACATTTATTGAAGCAAGTCTAACCATAATCCTTAACTATTTTCTTCTTCTGATCACAGGGACCCCCCACCTAGAATCTGGACAAAAAAATTCCGGTTCCACTGAAAACCAAACAACGAAAACACATATAAAACATAAAAAAACCCGTAAATATTGTGGTACCAAGATGTCCCTGTGGGTACCTTACCCAAACCAGGGTCATCCAAATAGTTGCCATTAACCAATGGCAAACCCGAGCGGAGGTCTGCTTTGAGGAGCAGGTTTCTCTATTCCTACCCAAGTTAATAATTCCTCCCTCCTATTCCCCCTCTAATCCTCATTATATACTCAATAGTATTCCTCTCTTCCTCTCCACTCTTCTCTCTTTCTTTATATTGACTGTGGAAATAATATTTAATATTCATCTTCCTTTCTTTAATAATTTGTATCTTTCTTGTCTGGTCAACTGTCCTCTTGTTGCGTCTAGGTGGGGGGGGGGGGAGGATGTGAAGTTGATGTCTCAATTGTTCATTTCTTTGTGTTGGGATATGTGATTAGTGTTTATGTTTTAATCTTAATCTGTGAATCAGCTCTTTAATTGTATAGTTTGTAGTGTCGTAGTGTTCTATGCTATAGTTCCTTTAAATATCGTAGTTAAGTGGAAGTGCAATGCATCATATTGATTTATTCCCCTGTGTAATTCTTAACTTTTTCCCTTTCCCTTATTATTCCTTATAAATGTTCCATTTCCTTTCTTTTTCCCCCAAAAAATTAGTGATTATATTATAATCTTAATATATAAAACAACTTTTTAAATATATGATTTATAGTGTCGTGTTATTCCATATTATAATTCCTTTGACTATCGTAATTATGTGAAAGTGCGTCCCATCATATTAATTTGTTCCCTTATTATATTTCTTAGCTCTTTTTTTAAACCCGCCTTATTCCTTATTTTTTTACTTTTTAAGTAACAAAAGACCAAAAAATAAACAAAAGTGTATCAATAAACTCTAATTCTGTGTAATAAATGTGTCAAATCTAGTGTCTCTCTAATTCTTTCCCCTTTCGCTCATCCCTTTTCTCTTCCCTTTCTTGTCCCTTCCTTCTCCTCCCCCTTCTAAAAAATAAAATAAAATAAAATAAAAAAATAGAGTGCAGAGAACCTCTAGACCAGCATATATATATTTCTCTTTCCTCTTATTCTTCCTTTCTCTTATCCTCTTTCTACAATCTAAGATATGTATTTCTTATCTTTCTAGTTCTAAATACAAAGGTTGGTATTTAGAGAAGAAAAAAAAAACCAAAAAAACATGTTCATTATTTTTAAATAATATAATATGCCACTTCTATCTAATAAGGAAGAGGCTAAGAGAGAAGGAAAATGAGACATAGAATGTCAAAACGTAATCCCCCGTCTTCTATTTTATATTCAATTTTAAAGTTTTTTCACTTCCCTTTTTTCTTCATTTTCTCTAAAACGTAGTCAATTTTTCTGAGGCATCGCAGATTACTGTACTGGATCCATAGGGCATGAAACATTTCTTTCCCTTTTTTCTTTCTCCTTCTTGTGGGGAAACTCCTATATAATGTATATCTTTATTTAGCAGTACTTTTGTTATAGCAGTGTAGCAACTTTCTTCAAATCTAGAATGATAAGGGTAAATCTTTATTTATGTAAAGATTTAATCATGCTCGATAAGAGGATTTATCGTATCATTATTTTTCTGTAATATGGTATATCAAACCTGTCTGATGGGGGGGAAGGAGGAGAGGGAAGAGAGGAAAAATGCAACATATAAAGGCACAGCCAGAAATCTCATATTTGACTCAGAGATTTTTCCCTTCGAACCATGAAGCCAGTTTTCTAGAGAGTCACATATTACTGTGCCGTATTCATAGGATATCATTATTTTTGTGGGGAAACCCCATTTGTATTTTATATCCTTATTTTGCAGAACCTTTGTTAATTCGGCCTAGCGTCTTCTTTCAGATCTAGTATAATAGGAGAGATCTGAATAAATCTTTATTTGTGCATATGAAGGGATTAGGTGAATGTTTCTCACTGCCTTTATAATTTGATCTTTGAGGCTTGATGATGCGCAGCATATAATAACATTGCGTGGTTTTGAAGTGTGTATTTCTGGAGGTTTGTAAGTCCTCTGAAATCTCTCCAAGGCATGGTTATATTTTGATGTATCTATATCAAGAGCTTTTATAAGTTCCAGTATATATGTTTCCAGTTTTTCATGGGTAATCGATTCTGGTATATCTCTGAGTCTTAAATTGTTCCTTCTGGCTCTATTTTCTAGCTGAGCAATCTTTTTATCCATATTGTAGATTCTGTCATCTTGTTTTTAATTAAACCATCCTGGAGTTGAGAATTTTCTTTCAATTGTGTCATGTGCAATTAATTTTTTGGGAGTTGCAACCTTATTAGGTATTGTTCTTTAATTTCTTTCATCATGTTGTTCATTTCCAATTTGAGTTTTTCAAATTGAGAACCAAATGCTCGTTCTAGAAAAGCCTTGGTAATTGAAGATTATGCTAGCGTTAGTGTACCTATAATCTTAATTTTGGTAATGACAGGAAGCGAGTATTTTGCATAACTCTCTTTACTAAACTCCACAGCAGTAAAGAAAGTGAAAAAAAATTTAACCAATTGTAACGGATCACCTGGCACCCCGACTTGGTACCTCCGTTAAAGAATGCTCCTAGCGTTACCTGAGGACTGCAACCACTCTGACAGACACCACAATCACTGAACCGGAGAAGCGTATACCTTCTCTCAAGCATTTGAATGCTATAAACAGCTGAATAGACAAAAACCATACGGATGGGTTTAGGCTCCTAGCAGTCAAACTGGAACAGCATACAATAAATCCTTCCCCAATAATGAGACGACACTTCACTTTGAGGGTTAAGCAGGAACTGTCTGGACTGGCACATACAGCCTCTTTTATTCCCAATCCACAAACTTAGTACTGCCCACAGGGTTTTACAGAACAACCAATAACACGTACAATACACTCAGACACTCCCACACAAAATCCTCCCCTCTGTCTGTGATACAATTACCTTACACAATGGGTAATCTAATTATCACAGACAGAGAAATACAGTTTTATAAAACACATCACAGGGACCCCAAAACATGCAATAACCCCATAAAAATATATCCTTGGAACCGGGGTATCTGGGTGAACCACATATCCAAAATTCAGATCCGTTCAGTACTTTGGAAGATACAGATTAATGCAGATTCTGCAGAACATATACAGGCTAAATGAAAAACAATCATTGTATAATGTGTCCCCTGCTGTATAGTCCAAAACCACTGCACGATGTCTTTGTGCACCAAATACTGGCGAGATGGCACCGTGTTGAAAAGTCCAAACAGTGTCTGTGAGTTAAAATGGCCGCCATCCATTGTTCTCACCATGTGCTTCTGATACAGGAAATGGTGGCCACCCAGTAACTCCACAGTATGTCCCCAGGTGGTTCTTAAAGGGCCAGCAGCAGCACAACACAAATCCATTATGCCCAAATCATGTCTTTAAAGGGTAATACTTCCCAGGGGCCATAGTCACATGGCAGGAGGCTGGCAATCAGTCTTCTCCAATGCCCAGTGGCGAGGTCGGTTTCACCACACCAATCAAAATGCAATAGGGAGTATATCATCCCAGTAAATAAGCTCCTCCTCCTCTTTCAGAAGCGACATCGGAACAGGGAAGTAGATCATCAAATAAAGTCTGTGAACAAACATCAACGGAGGTTTCAAAAGGGAATGATGAAACTTTATGGTATGAGTGGTAAACGGGCACCAACGGGTGAATGTTCGACCAAGATCATGGTCTTAAGTGATGAACCGTAGTCCTATGGATATGTTGCAGATGTTCCACATTCTTATGAGGTTAAACTGAAAGGAGAATATGAGAAGGTTAGGCACCGGTCTTAGAACTGTTTGCAGCAATGACAGTTATCCATTGGCTAGTATTGGAATAATGCAATTTACATAATAAGTGTTGCACCTCACAATAGTTATACTGATTGAGGGTGACAGTGGAGAAACTTACGAGCTGTACATGAGAAGTGAAATCCAAAGAATGGAGATGAAAGTAAAGATATATAGAAGTACAGTAGTTCCCCTCCTCCCCGGGTGGGAAGGGTGGGAAAATACTCGCCTCCTGTTTTTACTAAAATTAAGATTATAGGTACACTAATGCAAGCATAATCTTCAATTTTACCACATGATAGGAGGCTTCCTATTTTGCATTTTTAACGCTGTTGTATAAGAGACATGGCCGCACCGGTGTTCGGGCGGAAATAAAAGGTGCGGAACATATATTCTCTAGACCAGTCCGCAGAACGTAAGATATCCGTTTGGGAGGCTCCTGCCGTAAAGGCTGAAGATGCCGCCGCTCCGCGTAACGAGTGGGCCCCGAAGGTAGCGTCAACGCCTGCTAGTGATAGGATCCAGCGAACCTATCTAGCTAGGATGGTAGTTGTGATGGGGAAATGAGGTCTAATATATGATACTAGGAGTTGACCCGAGGGCGAGGAGCGAATAGGTAGTGTAACTTCCACATAACGTCGTAGGGTAGAAACTACGCAGAGTTGTGGATCGGTGGGGAAAAAGGGATAGAACATCGATGTAGAGTCTGTCTTCGTACGACGGGCTATCCAGAATGTTACTCCTTCTGGGGAGACTGAAAACGTATCTATGTCAAGCGCCCGAATGTCCGATACCCTGCGGAAAGAGACCAGGCAGAGCAAAACCGAGAGTTTTGCTGAGAGTTGTTGGAGAGAAAGTCTGTCGTTAGGTGGCCAGTCTCTGAGGAATCGAAGGACTATTTCGACGTCCCATAGTTGTGAGTATCTGGGGCCTGGAGGACGTTGTAATCGGATGCCCCTTAGGAGACGGCATATCAGGGGGTCTTTCCCTACTGGGATCCCTAGTATGGGGACGAGGGCCGCTGAGATAGCTGAACGCATTACGTTGAGTGATCTATAAGATCGTCCCAATGGGAGCAGGTGGGATAGGAAGTTTAAGATGTTTGGCCGCCATCCGTGGATCGAGGCCGTAAATGGATCGAGGTTCCGTTCCATACACCAAGTGGACCAGGAATTCCAAGCAGATAGGTAGCATATTCTGGTTCCTGGGGCCCATGAGTTCCATAGTAGTTCCTTAGCAGCCTTCGATAGTTTGCTGACTTGCCAGGCACCCCTGAAACTGTCCAGGCCACTAGGGTAAGATGAGTGGGTGAGGGTTGCCTTTTGGGTCTGTGAGAATGTATTGATGATGAGGTAGCAGAAGAGGGTCGTTGTATGACAGGGCAAGGAGGTCCGGGAACCATGGTTGTCCTCTCCATAGTGGAGTGATGAGCACTAGCGAGGTTTGTTGATTTCTCAAATATTGTATGATCCTCGCTATCATGGCAAAAGGAGGGAATGCGTAGGCTCCTGTGTTCGGCCACGGTTGTAGGAATGCGTCTACTGCTTTGCTCTCCGGGTCCGGGAGCCAGCTGAAGTATAGTGTCGTTTCTCGGTTGTTGGTGAACAGATCCAGGTGAAGTGGACCTCGACGTTCCGCTATGTGGTCGAAGATGGTGTCTTCCAGTCGCTGGTGTCCCGCCAGTGTCGCGAGAATCAGTCTGCCGTGAGATTCGTCTCCCATAGGAGGTATTCCGCTGTGAGGGAGATATTGCGGGGTAGACAGAAATCGAAGATCTCTTTAGTTATTTCTGATAGGAGACGGGAGCGGGCTCTGCCCAGGCAGTTTATATAGCGGACTGCGGAGATGTTGTCCATCCTGAGGAGGATGCAGCAGTCCGACTTGTCTTTTGCTAGGCTGCAGATAGCAAATGATCCCGCTAGGAGTTCTAGGCAATTTATATGCATGTGGAGGTCCTGGGAGGTCCAGGCACCTCCTGTCGATGTACGTTCGCTTGTCGCGCCCCATCCCCAGAGGCTTGCGTCTGATATTATGTCGGGTGTCTTCCCGAAGATGTCTCAGCCGTTCCATGCCTCCATGCTATCTAGCCACCATCTGAGTTCGTCTCTGACTTCTTCTGTCATCGGGACCGGTTGGTCGTATGAAGGGTTTTCCCTGAGGAAGGAAGCTTTGAGGTGCTGCATAGCCCTGTAATGGAGTGGACCGGAGAATATTGCTTGTATGGAAGCGGAGAGAAGTCCCACTATTCACGCAAGGGTGCGGAGTGGAATGGTGTGGCAACGGATGGCCCTGCGTAATTCCTTGCGAATGGCCGAGATTTTTGATGTCGGCAGTCGTAGGGTGCTGAAAATGGCATCTATCTCGAATCCCAGGAATTGTATTGTTTGTGATGGGGAGATAGCCGATTTTTGAAAGTTCACTATAAAGCCCGTGGTATATGATGCAGCGAATCCCTTGCCCTCGAAGATGAGCGACAACAGGCTTCAGTAGTTTGGTGAAGCACCATGGGGCCGAGCTGAGGCCGAAGGGGAGGCACGTAAATTTCCAAGGAAGGCCTTGCCAGTGGAACATTAGGAATTGTCGGCAGGATTGGTGGACGGGTACTGAAAGGTATGCGTCCTTGAGGTCTAATCTTGAAGTGTCTGTATGTGACGTATTCGATGAGTCGTCTGAGATTTATGAAGGGGTGGTAGTCTCCTGTTTTCTTCTTTACTAAGAATATGTTGCTGAAGAAGCCTTGAGGTTCGTTGTTGATGAGGAAGGTATCCTCTGTTGAGCAGTTGATGGGACTTGGATGTTCCGTCTGTCGTGGTTGGTCTATGAAGTCGATGATGTAGCCCTGTATCGTTTGTAGGATCCATGCGTCCATGGAGATGGAGTTCTATTCCTGGAAGAAAAGAGATATGCGACCTGCTGTATGCATTGGGAGAGAAAATTGAGTGAAGCGGTTGCTTACCTGTGGAGAAGCGCGCTCTTCCTCGGGTGCGTGGTCCGCGACCTCTGTCTGCGCCTCGAGTGTAGGAGGATGGTCGGTATCCCGCCTCTGGGTAAAAGGGTTGGGGTCTTGTAGAGCGGAGGCCTCAGGGCCAGAAGCGGCTGGCAGCACGGCCCCTGTGGCGGTCAGCCCGTCCAAAAACACCCCTGGAGGGGTTCTGTCTAAAGACTCTCCGCATTGAGGTCTGAGCCTTGTTCAAAGATGTGAAAACGTTTACATGTCTGATCAAGTCTTTGAGGAAAGGATCTCCAAATAGTTTACCCTGTGCCAAAGACAATGCGGAGAAGTGCTGCTTTACGTCACTCGGATGATAAGGCGACATTGGCATTACCCACAAAGCAGAAGCATCTTTGTGCCCACTCCCTTACATCATGAGCCCACTCATGCACCATGGTGGTGTTGAATTGGTCTGCTTTAGCCAGGGCATCATCGGCTAAGTACATAATTCTAGACAGTGGTCCCACTAAATCTAGAAGTTTATCTTGTACCCCTCTAAACCCTTTCTCCACTCCTTTGCGTGGGTCACGGCCACCTTGTGACATAAAAGTGGTCATCACCTGATCGAATTCTGGTGTTTCTGCAACATGGTCAGGTAGGCAGGGTCGTGGGCATTCTGACCGCAATCGGTTGCGAACTGTCTTGTCCATGGATTTTCGTAACCAGAGGTGCATGAACCTAGCTAGGTGGTCGGGTGGTGTCCAATCGCCTGAGCGTGGATGTCTTATTTTTCTTGGGTCGAATGGTTTTTTGCCCAGCGGGTCGAAGATGGTGTCTTCTTCTTCCTGCGGTGGTTCCATGGTATCTGGTTCTTGGGGTTCTTCCATAAATATGTTCTGTGGGAAAAAGGCTTGGGATCCAGAGTCTGAGCCCCAAGAGTCCTCATTAGAGTCAGATTCGTCCGCTTGCCATTCATCCAAGATGGCCATGGATTTAGGATGTGTCTCGTCTTCATCAGAAGAATATTCGTGTTGTGGGTTTGAGGCGGTGGCCATTGGGGTTTTGGTACGTTTAGCAGGGTTTTTGCCTTTGTTGGGGTTTGATTACCCTTTTCCCCTTTCCAATGGCGTTTGCCAGTGTGGGTTTCTAGGCTCTTATGCGATTCTGGGGCATCAGAATCAGAATCATGGTGGGATAGGTGGGTTTTTGATGGTTTCCTCTTGTTGGAACCAGAGGCCATCATTTTGGAGAGAACCTTCTCCATGGAGGCGGCTACGGCCTCATTTACCATATTTTGGGATTTTGAGAGGTCTCCATAATGCCTGAATATGTATTGGCACAGAGTGTAATTGCTAGAGGTCAGTATGCTGTATTGTAGTCAGTATTGACTGTATGAAAAAAACGTTATGCAGACCCTGGCAGCCCTAAGGAAAAAAATCTGAAAGCTATAGAGAAAAAAATAGTATACATAAAAAAGGTTAGTCAACCTATAAGTAAGTATATAACATATATATATATATATAGTAGTTAAGCCAAAAGTCCAATAAGCAAAGAAATTAGGTATAATTAAAGGAAGAGCCAAAACTCTGACCTGTCTGCGATGGAGCAGTATAGAAAGAGGAGGAGGAGCCTTTTTACTGGGATAAT